TCATCTGTGGGGATTTCCATTTAATTAACCGAGTCAGGGGAAACACCCAGAGCCATTCTCAAAGGTGCCAACCAGCAGTCAAGAGAAAATCTCCCCAGGACCATGACAGAGGACCCATCATCGGGGACAGTCCCTTGTTTGGTTTTGTTTTTTTAATATCTGGGCCCAGTTATGACTCAAGCTCAACTGCCCCTGGTATTGCCCAGGGTTTAACCATGTGTGGCCTGTGTGTGGCCCAGGCTGGAAGTCCCATGCAAGGCACTGGAGGAGCCAAGAGTTTGTCACTGGCTAGCCTGACAAACTCTGGCATCCCAGATACCAGAGCTTGGTCACTAAAATGGAGGGTTCCAGCCTTCTAAGAATCTTGAGCCTTGAACTATGACTGCAGTCGTGAGGACATCCCAAGAGGCCACGCCGGATGGGGTATGTAGATGGGTCACACCCCAGACTCCAGCTGGCCCCTCCAGACTCCATCTTGAAAATGAATTGATTTTTTTCTCTCATTTTCTCCATTGTATTCATTCAGAGGGAAAAAAAGACCTCATAAATGTCATTTCATATTCTAAGCAATTTGCTATAGGCAACGACACCATTACTTTGTACAAATAAATTTACATAAATCATTATTAGAATGTTTTATCTTGGCAACATTATTTGGTTCCCAGCGCACAAATTAAATGCATGCTTAAAGCAGAATATTTTAAAGTCATTCCTATATTGTTTATGAGGCAGGATTAGAAATTTCCATCTCCTAGTTCGCTCATCATGGAATTCCTTCCATTTTCTCTGTACTCCTGGAAGCCACAGGCATCATTTTCTGGGGTTTTTTTGAAGCAAACCACCAACAGGTGACTGCCATGTTGGGACTGTGCCACATTGGGACTGTTTTGTCAGTGACTGTCCCTCTGACTTTGTGGGTCTGGGTTCGAGCACTGATTCGGAGGGCTGGGAGCCAGGTAGATCACAGCATCACGAAGAAGTGGCTTTTTGGTTGATACTATTCTGCAAGCAGACGGTCTCTGGCTGTGGTTAAGCTTTATTATTACTTTCTTTCTTTTTTTTTTTTTTTTTTTTTTTTTGAGTCAGGGTCTCTTTCTGTCACCCAGGCTGGAGTGCAGTGGCACATTCACAACTCACCACAGCCTGGACCTCTTGGGCTCAGGTGATCCTACCGCCTCAGCCTCTGGAGTGGCTAGGACTACAGGTGTGCACCACCACGCCCGGATAATTTTTTTGTCAAGATGAGGTCTCATGTTGCCCAGGCTAGTCTTCATTTCCCGGGCTCAAGCAATCTTCCCACCTCAGTTTCCCGAAGTGCTGAATAACAGGTGTGAACAACGACACCTGGCCTTTTCTTTTCTTTTTTAAAATAAATAAATTTGCAAATAAGCTTTGCCACCTCTGTTTCTCCTGGCTGTTCGCCTCAGGAAGTTGCCTGTTTGGATGAACTAGACAGCACAGGGTGAGTCTTCACTGGCTGGAGTGTCACTCCACCTTTTCTGTCTGTGTGAAACGTGGTATCCAGTTTTAAAACCAGCTGCAGCTGTCAGTGTCACGGGAGGAAGTGCTGGAAGGGGCCAGGAGACACGTGCGTCATCCCTGGCACTGCCACGGCTGGCTCTGGAAAATCCACAGGGATGCCTCACCGGTCTTCTCACTGGCATCACCAGGGCCAGGCTCGCTGCTCAGCGGGGGACATTCTGAGAACAGAGACCTGGGCCAGGGTCAGGCAAGTGGAGTACCCCATGGACAAGGGGGTGAGGCAGCCCAGAGCACACAGGATCAGACATACCCTATGCAAATCAGTGCAAAAATCAAAGCCACTGCATGCTGTGAGACGGAATAATGCAAACCTTTTTGCATCTGTTACCTCATCTTAAAACATGAGAGATTCTGCAAACTCACCTTGCAGCTTATTTGGGGGATTAGATGAAGCAATGCAGCAAAAAATCTTAGATAACACCGGACTCTTAGAAAAGGCTTAAGACACAGTAGTTAATGTTCATCTTAAAGGATGGCCAGTGGAAAAACTGTCTTCCATGAAACTGGTCTCTGATGCCAAGAAGGCTGGGGACCACTGGCCTTGGACATCACAGCTGGGCCTGGCTCAGGCAGTGAGCAAGACTGGAACCCACATCTCCAATTCTGACTCTAGTTTTCAGTCAACAGTATCGCAAAACCATACCAGATTGGGAAAAGCATTGCCAAGACTAAATACCATGGCTTACTCATGGTGAGCCTTCCATGCTTACTTGATTTAAAACAAAATATTTATTTGGTTTAAAATAAAATAGCTCACACCGTGAGCCAAGTAAAAAGAAAAAAGCTCCAAAATGCAAGGTTTGCTTTCATTGGGTGCTGACTTGTTCCAACATTTAGGTTAATTCAAGAAGTCTGGATGCTTCATTTTAAAGACTGCCTGGACACGAAACAGCCTTGATGCTGAAGCCAGATTTAATGGACAACTGAAGGGATAGATGAGGAAATCTGACAAGCCTGTGGCCAGATCACCCCCTACTCTAGAACATTCCTGCTCCTCTCTGTCCTGTTCTAACCCTACTCATCCCTAAATCCTGCCTTCTGAATGAAGAGAAAACTCCACACAACCAAGTCTGCAGATGCTCATGTCACAACTGGCAAGGCCGGGGCTTGGTCAAGTCTTTCCTTAAAAGGCCACAGAGTAAATCTTCCCCAGATCCCACCACACATACTCAGCATGGCCACTGGAAGGGCAAAAGCTACCACAGATGACCCGGAAATTGATGAATGTGGCTCTGTGCCAATAAAACTTTATTTAGAGCCAGTGAAATCTGAATGCCATGCAAAGTCCATGAGGTGCAACATTTTTTTCTTCTTTTAATTTTTTCCAACCATTTAAAAATGTAAATACTGGCTGGGTACAGTGGCTCACATCTGTAATCCCAATACTAGGGGAGGCCAAGGCAGGAGGATCACTTGAGGCCAAGAGTTCAAGATCCGCCTGGACCACATAGTGAGACCTTGCCTCTACAAAAATTAAAATTAAAAAGTTTGTGGAGTATGGTGGCATGCGCCTGTAGTCTCAACCACTCGGGAGGCTGAGGCAGAAGGATCCCCTGAGCCCAGGAGTTTGAGGCTGCAGTGAGCTATAATTACACTGTTACACTCCAGCCTGGGCCCATATCGAGACCCTTATCTCTATTAAGAAAATACAAAAATTAGCTGGGCGTGGTGGCACATGCCAGTAGTCCCAGCTATTCAGGGGGCCAAGCTGGAGGATAGCTTGAGCCCTGGAGTCTGAGGCTGAGGTGAGCTATGATTGCGCCATGGCACTCCAGCCAGTTAAAAAATTAAAAAGTAAGAACCATCCTGAGCTTGTCTGCAGCACCCCGACAGGCAGCGGGCCATCCTGGCCCCAGGCTGTGGGTATCTGCCAACCCCTGGCCTGGGCTTGCAGGGGAAGAAGCAACAGTGTGTGAGGCAATCGCTGCAGTGCTGGGGGACAGGAACACAGTCATCATTCTCGTCCTCCCACCTCCTGGGTCTGGTGGTCAGGGCTGTGATTCCCAGAGCTCCCAGAGGGTACAGCCTCAGCTCCTGTAGGTGAGGCAGACGGCCCAAAGCAGGACGAGCAGGAGCAGCAGCTGTGAGACCCAGGACAGCAAGGGTCTCTGCCGCCGCCTTATCTGGCATGATCCAAGGCAGCGCTGGTGAGGGCGAGGGTGTGCAGGATTTGCTGCATGACCCCCAAACTACCCAGGGCATGTGACTCCCCCCGACTGCAGCCCCCTCCTTATTCTGGAGAACCCCAACTTGGCCTTCAGACCTCTCTTGATGGGCCCAGCAGCAACTTCCAGACCACTGTTCCTTTTTTTGAAGTCGGGTTCTGGTTCCGTACCCCAGGCTGGAGTGCAGTAGCACAACCTTGAACCCCTAAGCTCAAGTGGCACCACAACCTTGACCCCCTAGGCTCAGGCGATCATCCCGCCTAAGCCTCCCGAGTAGCTGGGACTACAGGTGTGCACCACCACGCCCAGCTAATTTTTTTATTTTTTGTAGAGATAAGGTCTTGCTATGCTGCCCAGGCTGGTCTCGAACTCTTGGTCTCAAGTGATCCTTCTGCCTCGGTCTCCCAAAGTACTGGGATGACAGGCGCGTGCCACCACGCCTGGCTCATTTTTTGATTTATTGTAGAGACGAGGTCTTGTCATGTTGCCCAGGCTGATCCCAAACTCCTGGGCATGGGTAATCCTCTCGCCTCCGCCTCCCAAAGTGCTGGGATTACAGGCGTGTGCCACTGCGCCTGGCCAGAGCCCGGCTCTTGGTTTCTGTTTCCTCTCTTCATTTCTATTCTCAGAATCACCTTGTGAGTTACCAGGGACGGACCTCAAAGACTCTGGGTCATCCTGGGGCCCTGATGAGCCACAGAAGCCAGGCAGAGCTGCAGAGGGAGGACAAATGACCCGCAGACCCGCAGTGACAAAGCCCAACGAGGTTCTCCTTTTTCTTATGAGTGAGTCGTGGGCCTGAGGCTAAACTGTGAGCACCCTGAGGACAGGAGCCAGCCTGCTACTTTTCCATCCACGCCTGTCCCAAGAACACAAAGCAGACACTCAGTCACACTTACGGAACTCACCTGGAGGTGTTTTAGGGAGCTTGACACAATGAAAGCAAAACACGGCATTCTGGGAAACAAAGGGACACAGCGGCTGGTTTCTACGTGAAAATTCCCAGCAACGTCCCGGTGTCTCTGGGACACACACCAGCATCTTAAATAGAGTCATGATTCAGTGCCTAAGTTGGACTGACCCATCATCGTATGCCTAAGTTGGACGGACCACATTGTCACATCTGATTGGCCACAGACATCAATCACTAAGAAGACTGGGGGAGGCGGGGAGGAAACTGGTTGGTGGAGAAACAACCCATTTGTCATCTGCATGTAAAACACAGCTCTGGCATCTCACGTACCCAACGCTGTCCACACAAGGTGCAGCGTGCTGGGGATGGCCAGGGGTTACCTGAGTCAGAATGGGTCCAGGAGACCGAGGTCCGCATCGCTCCCGTCACAGAAAGGACAGTGGGGCCTCCATGGTCATGAGGATGCTGGTCTTCTAGAGGCTGGTGGGGGAGGAACAGAAGAAGGTCAGAGTTTGGCAGAAAAAGCAGAGAGTGCCCGCACCACCACACCAGTGTCAGCCCGGCCCACCTAGAAAGTGACGCCCTTGCATGAGAAAGTGACTGTCACGGGACCTCTGTCTCTCAGATTATTAGAGGCCCGAGTCTTTCACAAGGGAGTGTTTGGAAACCACCTCATGGGGCATAGGAGGACCAGAAATTTGAAAATATACACCATGAATGTTGCAAAACTCTCATATGCCACTGCAACTGCCCTCAAGATGGCTGTGAGACCATTTCATGTCACCGCAGCTGCTGCTCGAACACCTGTCTACACAAAGGAGAAACATCAGATCATGGCAGGCATCCAGGCCAGCGTTCCGCCCCATGGTGGGCCTCGAGCCTCTGGGAGGACCATGGCCATAGGCCCTGAAACTCACGGCCACAGGCCCAGAAGCCCACGGCTCTGTCCCACTGTTATAAGATGATTGCGCCGGTCCGCACTCAACGGCTGCAAGTCACGGGGCCTCAGTCAGCCAGTCAACTTGCAAAGTAGGAAGGTTGGTACAGGAGACAGACTGCCTAATAATTGCCAATGGAAGATACTTTTTTTAGCCCAGGCCTCAAGGATGGCAATTCAATGAACTCTCTAATGCAGAGAATGGTGGTGTCCTATAAGTTCTAGTGTGAGAACGTTAGGAAACAGACACGTTAGATCGGTGGTTCCCAAACGGTGTACCCTGGAGCAGCACCATCAACCTTCCCGGACAGCTTGTTGGAAATGCAGATTCCTGGCCCCTACCTGAGACCTATGGAATCAGGTCATAGTGTCTGGAGGTAGCTCAGAGACCTGCGCTTTAACAGACGTGGTTCCAATACACCTAAGCTCATAAATATATCTGCCCATGGGAAGACATTTATTCTACTGTAAAATAAAGTCACCCTTTGCTAGTTCAAGTTTAAGCTCCAGTTCAGGACAGAGCACTGAGTCAGGGACTGGGGAGGGATGCAGAGCCAGAGAGGAAGGGTGAGAAAGGTGATGGGGAACCCATCCTTGAGATGTGAGCCATCCACTGTGGAAGACACCACTCGTGTACAGACAACACATGTGCAGACAGACTGAGCCATCTCTCCTGAGGGTTAGCGGGCTTCAGCGGAGTCTGGTTCTGGGTGGGGAGGGGGTAGCGGACGGTACGAGGGAAGGCATCACAGGGACAGGGACAATAGGAACAGGCCTTGGGAGGGGCACCGGATTTAGACAGAAGAGACAGAACAGCCAAAGCAGAGGCCCAAGGTAAGAAAGCGTGTGGCCACCCTAGGGCGCAAGGTAGTCCGGCCTGGTCGGCACAGCAGAAATGAGAAGGTAACCTCCAAATGCAGGCAGGTCACAGCTGGGCCACCCCACCGGCCCCCAAATTCACAGCTGACAGATTCACATCTGATCAACCAGGTGACTTCAGATCTCTCCATCCAGTTTACATTACTGTGCGTTTTGCCTTTTCCAGAGGCGAGAACCTCCACATGTCAAGAATTTTTTTTTTAGCAGGAATCTCTCTCTGTCACCCAGGCTGGAGTGAAGTGGCACACTCACGGCCACCATAGCCTCGACCTGCTGGGCTCAGGTGATCCTTTCACCTCAGCCTGCCAATTAGCTGGAACTACAGGTGTGTGCCACCACACCCAGCTAATTTTTTTATTTATTGTAGAGACAAGGTCTCACCAAGTTGCCCAGGCTGGTCTTGAACCCTTAGGTGCAGGCAATCCTCTTGCCTCCGCCTCCCAAAGTGTTGGGATTACAGGCATGAGCCACTGCACCCGACTAAATACAACAACATTTTTAAAGGAGGCAAAGAATCTGGAAGTCATGGAGACCTCAAGTCATCTACAAAAGGGCAAATGTCACCATACCTCAAAAGCCCTGAGAGCACTTCTGTCTTCAGCTTTATAAAAGACAGTCTCCAGTTGATAGTGGTGCGACTCAGTCACAAAAAAAAGTTAAATGAACGCCCAACATCTCCAGTTAGAGAAAAAATAACTTTTCTCGATCAAGAAGAGATGGTTTTTGTATCTCAAAAACGGACATAAATAGGTTTTATTTCCTGATGCTGGTAGGTGAATAACAGGGCCCTCAGGATGTTTCTAATGTCATTCCAAGGCGTTGATTTTTCCTTCCTTCCTTCCTTCCTTCCTTCCTTCCTTCCTTCCTTCCTTCCTTCTTCTCTTCCTCCCTCCCCCTCCCTCTCTCCCTCCTTCCTTCCTTCCTTCCCTCCCTCCCTTCTGACAGGGTCTTGCTATGTTGCCCAGGCTGGAGTGCAGTGGCTACCCACAGGCACCATCCCAATACTGATCAGCACGGGAGTTCTGACCTGTTATTTCCAACTTGGGCTGGTTCGCCCCTCCTTAGGCAACCTGCGGGTCCCCTGCTCCCAGGAGGTCACCACATCAATACTAAACTTGGTGTGGACACCTGATTGGCATAGTCCACTATAGCCCAGAACTCCTGGGCTCAGATGATCCTCCTACCTCAGTCTCCCAGGCAGCTGGGACTACAGGCGCCTGAGGCCAGGCCTGGACAAAGGTTCTGACTGAAACGAAGCTGAGTTCAGAACTAGTGGTATCTGCCTGCTCACCCCAGCTCTGCCACTGGGCCACCCAAGTCATCACGGGTAAGGCACTGAACCTCTAAGCCTCAGGGGTTTTTTGTTGTTGTTGTTGTTGTTGTTTTGAGTCAGGGTCTCACTCTGTCGCCCAGGATAGAGTGCAGTGGCACACTCACGGCCACCACAGCCTCAACCTGCTGTGCTCAGGTGATTCTTCTTCCTCAGCTTCCCAAGCAACCGGAACCACAGGCATGTACCACCACGCCTGGCTCATTTTTTGATGTATTGTAGAGATGAGGTGTCACCAAGCTGCCCAGGCTGGTCTCGAACCCCTGGGCTCAGGCAATCCTGTTCTCTGCCTCCCTAAGTGCCGGGATGACAGGCAGGAACCACCATGCCTGGCTAGTTTTTTCATCTATCTAGAAAAGGAGGCCCTGCCCCACCTTTCCTGAGATTTAAATATCAAAACAGATACAGATACGAAGTTGCTGTGCAATGCTACTCAGAGGCAGAGAACCAGTATCTGCCAAGAGGCTTCTGGATAGAAATTAACACTCCTTATCCTACTGGCCTTTGAAGACGTAAAGGCAGAACATTCCTTACGCCCCTGAGAATCCCCTTCCAAATATTTGCAGACCCAGCAGCTTGAGGAACACACGTGGCATCAACCAGACCGTTCTCCCAAGAAGCATTTCAAGGTAAATCTTTTACTTGTGATTTTTTAAAAGGAATGCTATTCCTCTGCCTGCAATGGAGCCTCAGCCCTCTCCGAGGGCCCCTGGTGGGCACGACTCAGTCTCCAGCAATACCGACATAGACAGGGGCAGTCGTTTATCATCTCTGCAGTAGTCGAGTCCCCAATGGGCCATTCACTCATTTATTTCCATATGTAGCCAGCAGAGAGATTAATCAGGCTTCCAGCTCGGAAACCGAATTGTGCATTATTCCCTTAACAGGCTAAGGGGACGAGAGGATGCACACATTTACACGGAAACCTCCCTTTTCTCTTTTTCTTGAGTCGGGGTTTGGATCTGTTGCCCAGACTGGAGTGGCGCCATCATGGCTCACCCCAGTCTCGACCTCTCAGTCTCAGACAATCCTCCCGCCTCAGCCTCCCAAGTAACTGCCTGCACCACCACACCGGGCTAATTTTTTTGTAGAGACAAGATCTCGCTATGTTGCCCAGGCTGGTCTAGAATTCCTGGACTCAAGCGATCCTCCTACTCTTGGCCTTCCGTCTCGGCCTCCCAAAGTGCTGGGATGACAGGTGTGAGCCACCATGCCCAGCCTTAAAAGTTCTTCGGAAAAAGCCCATCAGCCTCACACACCAGCCTCTTCACACATACACACACACACACACACACACACACACACACACACACACACACACACACACACCTTTTTCAAGACAGCCTGCCCATTAAGTCAACCAAGAGGGCTGCTTCTTTTCTTAGACCCTCAGGGACTGCACACAGGAGCTGTGTCTGATACAACTGCAGACAGGTGTAGGCGCGAACTGTCACCCATCAGGTACAGTTGCAGCCTCCCCGTCTGCAGGGCCAGGTCTCTCACTGCTGAAACTACCAAGACCTCGTTGCCGGGTGCTGCATCCTGGGGTCAGCAAGGCAGTGCCAAGCCTGGGAAAGCATGTGCTTTCTTCCACGCTTGTTAAGGGGTGGCCCCTGACTGAATTCTGCAGCCACCGTGTCCTCGGCAGCAAGGCAATGGCGAGCAGATTGTTCGCTTTGTTCCCGGTTCCCTGGGCCCAACGCTCTGACCCCTTCTGTGTTTAATTATATCCCAGTGACATCAGCCTTCAGCAAAGGAGTGTAGGCGGATTGCTGTCAGATGACAGGGCTTATATACAGAAAGCAAGTCTGGTGCTCTAAGTGGACCCCAAGCCCATCGCCAAGAAAGCTCCACACACAGGACCATGCCAGCCGGGTCCACACGCTTAAGGCACTAACCAACTGCGTGGCTTCAGAAGTCACTTAACAGCTCAGGTTCAAAGTTCCCTGAGGTTGCTTCTGGTTCTGAAATCTGACAATTCTACGAATATGAAGACAACAGCCAGTCATTCACCTGGTGTGTTCAGTGTGTCTAGCTGACACTGTTCTGGACAGCAGGAGTCTGGAAGCATCTGGAAACAGCGAGCAGGTCCAGATGCTTGGTGCTGTGATGGACACAGCCTCAGACTCCTAGCAGTCAACACATTCTTTTTCAGCAAAGGACATACGCATCTGAAGGTTATGCAACAATGTCTCCCTCCACAGGTTTTAGGAGTTCAAAGACACCTGTGTGATTACAGAATCCGTCTAGGTGTGGCAGAGCCCACAAAAGGTCCTTGTCGTTAAGACACTTCCATCATAATTAAGGAGATGATGGCTAATCTCTTTTTATTGTTCTTTTTGAG